ATCTAGGGTCCGCCCATCTTGTCACATGTATACCCCTAGACCTTCCCATTCCCATGGGCACACCCCTAGCTCCTCCCCTTCCTGTTACGCTTATGCCTATCATAGATCCCCTTCCTATGTGTATGCCTATTGTACTGCCCCTTCCTGTGACATGTGGTTACCTGTAATCATGTCCCCTAAAGAGATATAATGCTTGGTTAGTAATGAAGTGGGGCTCTCCTGCTCTCGCTACCGAGGCTCTCTCCTGCTCTCGTTGCTGGACTCCCCCCACGAGGACCACCTACCAGGGCTGAGGTGAGCATGCTACCATGAATTGTGTCTGACTCCATTATTCCAATCTCTCCTCTACCTCTCATGCTCTCTATGACTTTACTATAATCTTTACTTATTGTCGCTGTACAATTGTGCCTCCCGGACGTGATGATTTGTGGGGGACCCCCCTAGCCCCACAGGTCATCAAGGTCACCATGGAATTGCACAGTGGAAACTCTTGAAGTGACGTGTCTGTTTGGCTGTGAATGCATTCAACGATAACAAAAGCAAATTAAATCAAAATGTGCAACAAAACAGAACTCCACCCCATCTCGAATCTGCAGCTCTCCAGGAACAAACTAAATGACACCACGGAGACATCATCAGCCCAATTCAGAAAGTAGGCAGTTCTGTCCTCAGAAGAAAAGAGTCATTCTGCAAAGAAAGAAAAGATGCAAGGAAAAAGAAGAGCGATGGAGAGAAACTGTGACAAATGGGAAGGTCCTGGAAGCATCGGGTTGAATGGCATGTCAGTTACAAAAGGACAAATACTGTCTGTGAAATAAGCACGTGTGTAGAAAGCAGAGACAGAAAAGAAAGCAGAGATTATTAATGGTTACGGGAAGTGAGGAAGAAATGGGGAATTTTTGCATGGGACGTAACTTTAGTGTTTTGGTTTGTTTTTAACTGTACATTAGATGAGGGCTTTTCCTTCAGATCATCACGTTTTATCCAACAGTTTAAACTACTCGTCAAACTTCCCCCAGTAGTTTATCCTTCACCCGGTTCCTTGATTTCTCCGCTTCCTTTTGTGGACTCCTGTCTTCCAGAGTCGATTTTGACTCATGGAGAAGACCCTATGGAACAAGGTAGAACTGCCCATGGGTTTCTGAGGCTGGAACTCTTTATGGGAATATTAACCCACATCTTCGTCACTGAGACCAGCTGATGGTTTCAAACTGCTGACCTTGCAGTTAACAGCGAGGAGGCAACTTTGAGGATTAGGGTGTGTCTGACCCAAGCTACGGTATTTTCCATTGACTCATATGCATGTGAAAGTTGGACACTGAATAAGGAAGGCAGCAGATGAATAGGTGCATCTGAATTATGGTGTTGGCGAAGAATCTTGAAAGTACCATGGACTGCCAAAAGAACAAACCAATCTATTTTGGAAGAAGTAGTCAGAATATTCCTTAGAGGCAAGGAAGATGTCGCTTCATCTTGTGGCCACTGGACATGTGGTCAGGAGGGACCCGTCCCTGGAGAAGGACATCATGCTTGGTGGAGCGGCAGTGAAACAGAGAGGGGGTCTCAAGGCAGTGAAACAGAGATGGGCATGATGGCGGCAACAATGGGTTCAAGCAGGACACTGGTGAGGCTGGTGCGGGTCCTGGCGGTGTTTTGGTTGCTATGGGTCAATGTTACCCAATTACATCTTCCATTGCACCCAAGTTCACACCTATCAACAGCTTAGCTCGTAAACTTTATCCCTAACTCCACACAGCAGTTCATCCACGAGCGGAGGCAGACACGCAGGGCGGACATCCTTGACCAGCCAAGCTATGCTACTGTTAGGTTTTCAGGCGGTTTCAGGAAGATGGCTGGGTAACGCTTCTGATGATCTGCGGGCACTAGTTTGGGTGGTGCATCCAGCCTCATTGGCTCCAGAAAATCTGGATTCCGTGTACAAATGTGAAACTCCATTCTGCACTTTCTGCCGCTTGACCAAGATCTGCTATAGAATCTTTGATCAAAATGTTCAACATTGTTGTCTTTTTTAAGTAAAAATAGTACTTTACTTATAAAACAGCTTAGGACAAATGCCACTGTTGTCTTTACCTTCCCTAGACAAGCGTTCCACATGTGCTTTGTATTATTAGGTTGGAGGGGCCTGCCCCCCACTAGTCTCAGGTTCAATAAGCACAATTGTACAGTTGAGATATATTAGTATATTAAAGTCACCGAGAGCATGAGAGAGAAGAGGTATTACAATAATGCAATCAGACGCATTACATGGTAGCATTGCTCACCTCAGCCCCACTTGGTGATCCATATGGAGAGAGGGGGAAGGGAAGGACAGGAAAGGGAACAGGGGGAAGAGAGGCCAGGGAGGGAGAGACCAGCGAGAGGGAGCTCTCTTGCTAGCCCAGGCCTATATACCTTTTGGGGGCATGCAAGCCCAATTACAGGTGAAGACATTTGTCACAGGAAGGGGTTGCACTATAGGTTACACAGCAATGAGAGGGGGTGGTCTAGGGACATACCCATAATAGGAAGAGGAGGGACTGGGGGTTTACATGTGACAAAATGGGAGGATCCTAGATTTAGGATGGCAGCTTAACTTTGACCTGTTTTCTGGATCTCCATAAGAACCATTATCTGTAGGGTGTGAACTCTACTTACAGGAACCAAGCTAATGGTTGCAAGCTTCAGGGAGAAGTAATCCATTGTCTCTAGCAGCAGGGAGCAGGCCCACCCGTGGTTGGGGGGGAGACAGCAGTCTGGCAGATTGCCTTCAGGGAGGTTGTAAGCATCTGACTGCCCCCCGCCCCCCGCCCCTCCTATGCGTGGGGACTTTTCCCCCTCAAGATGGTCAGATAGGGAGATGGGATCAAGTCACAGGAGTCCCCAGGGATATGGGGTCCCTCACACCTGGTTTGGACACAGCTGGGCCAAGGGTGACATCAGCACAGCACAGGTATGCCCACAAAACACTGGGGCCATGCCCAGGCCCGAAGAAACAGAGGGCTTCTGGGCAGCCTCACACATCTGACTGAATTAGTGCAGCATCTGAGAGCTGCAACTGTGCAGGGGAGCAGCTGCCTGGCACCCTGCTCCCCCAGTGAGGCAGCCCAGCTGCTATAGGCCCACTGCGCTACTCACCCCTGGCCCCTGGACTCGGAAGGCACCAGGGGAGCCCGGGGTCCCTGAGAGTTCACGGAGTGGTTGGTGGGTTCCTACTATGGACCTTTCAGTTAGCGCCCAAGTGATTGCTCCATTCTGCTCCAGGGACTCCAAACACTATCTTCAAGGTGGGGGTGGCAAACCCCACACGGACTTGGCCTGAGGACTCATGTTATGAGGGCAAGGGATCACAGAAGAGACCCAAATGGGCTGTCATGGCTCAGGAAATGGAGACAGTCAGGCAGACTCGGAATGAAGTCCAGGTGAGAGGACCGGCCTGACTCTAGGACCCCCTACGGGCTGCCCCTCGCAGGCAGGCTGGCTGGCACCAAACCTCTCACCTGTTCTTGTTGCTATTACCAGATGCCATCAAGTTGGTCCTGAACTCGGCAACCCCATGTACAACCTAATAAATGCTGCCTGGTTTGAGCCAGCCTCCCAGTGGCTGGAGCCCATTACTGCTGTGAGGGCATTCAGACAGGTGCCACCCTCTTTCTGATGCCACTCTGATACCAACCATCCTCCTAAGGTGGGTGGTGTTGTCAGTTTCTGCTCCGGGCAGCGCTATGTACAACAGGATGAATGCCCACGCCTGGCACCACCCTCACCGGTGTTGTTTGAGCCCACCAGGGCAGGTCCTGTGCCCATCTAGCTTGTCAAGGGTGTTCTC